AGGGGAAAAACTAGTATTTTCTTCCTCTATTTTTTAATTTTTTTATTTGATCCACTAACTTTTATTTATTCCATTTCAGTCTTATAACTTTTAAACGTGAAATAAATTATATTGGTGCACTTGTCCAACCTCGTTAATGATTGAGTTGACAGTGCTAATGTAGATTTCCCCTTTTCACTCGTTTGATTAAAAGTGTCTCAAAACATAGACATACGAAATTGAGGTGGTTTTGCTCCCATCCGCAAATGAGGTAACTTTGCTCACAATCCATTACAACACTCTTCACTTAATTAGTAGCTTCTATTTGTTCCATAACCATTGGTCCCCATTAGTCTTCCTATTAAGTTGAAGGGACAATTGGACTTGTTAACTTTGCCAAACAAAACTCAATTTGACCTTTCACCACCTTTAAGACACAAGAAAATTTTCACAACTTGGCTTAAAAAAATTATATATATATATATATATGCTAATATACTCCCACCTATTTTTTAGTGGGAGTATGTTAGCAACCTATACCAATATATATATACATATATATATACACACACACACACATACATACAATCATCCAAACACAACCTTTTTTGCTTGCTTGATCAAAATCCAATTTGGATATCAATCCACAATATAACATAATTTCTTGGATTTCGCCACTTAAGCTAGTAAAGTCTCTGCCAAGAATAGAATAACTTGGGTATTGACCTACCACGACATTAATATGTATCAACTAAGTATATATGAAATTAATGCACCAACTATCCTCCTCATATTACGCACGTTTTTAGTAATCAATTAAGGACTTTACCCCTTGACTTCATACCTTACTTAATTGATAGCTTCTAAATCAATATGGCTTAACCTAACCCTTTATACAGTATCAACTAAGGACTTAGAGGAGACTTCACACTTCACTTCAAGAGGGAACAATCTCAAGAAGGGTTATTTTGTAATTGGGTTCTTAGAATATCACAACACATATTATTAGGTCAAAAGACGATCTTAAATTCATTAGGCTATAAATTTTAATGATAACAAACTCAAACCTTTTTAAGGGAAATTTTTTTTAGATCATAATATAAGATGAATAGTAATAAGACAATTAATTATTATGACATTAAGTCTCTCAAACAAACACTTCACCTATAAAAAAAAGTTTTATATTTATATCATTTATGATATTTAATAACTAAATCATATCTGTTTGTGTTATTCGTTAATATATAAAAGGAATAAAGACTTTCTTTAGTACTCACTCTTTGCAAAGGAACACAACCATGTTTTGTGTTAGAAAAAGGACTAGCATATCCCTCAAAACACACAAAATTTTAGAGAAAGTTGTTTCCAACTAACGCAGGCATAATTCCTCTCTCTTTAGTACCTAAAAGGTGATAAGTAGTTTATTTGATTAGATAAAAAGAGATAATTTGATGAAACATATTTAATGCACCAACAAACACTTTTCTCTATGAGGAACGATGATGAAGACAAACGAAACAAGCCTGTCAGAGATGCTCAAGAATTTGTAACGGTTATCTTAATGAAATACCTATATAAAGAAGTTTGAAGACTTTGAAAGAGTAGAAACAATTATTGTAAAAGATATATTCATTCTTTCTACAAAAATCTATATACTTAATTGGTTGTATCACGTCTTGATAGTAAGATGAAACAACATAGTTATTTCCCAACTTTAATTTTGTGTTATTTCTTTAAGCTTGTGAAAACTTGACTATAAAAGAACACTCGATTATTTGAGTCTAGAGACTGAAAGAATATTTTATTCTTAAAACTTAGAGAGGTTTTGTGTTGAAAGAATACTTGGGTAATTGCTTGAAGAAACAAGTCAAAGAACACTTAGGTTGAGTCATAAGTGACTTATGAAAAAATACTTTTATCTTGTAAAAAATAGTAGAACTTGGTTGGGTTGATTAAGAATTGGATGCAATCTCGTTGATTGAGATGAACTAGTATAAAAACACAATGTGTTCTTCTTATTTAGCTTTTTGATTGCACTCTTAAGGTCTTGATATTACTACATCGTTTCAAAAAAATGTTGTTTTTGATTGACACTACCTAACCCCCCTTCTAGTGTCATACAATTCAACACCATGTAACATGTGTATCCCTTACAACTCAACATAATAACATATTTCATGCATATCACATACAACTCAACACAACTCAACATGTTTTCAACATTAAGGCAACTCAATCATTCATATATAAGAGCTCATAAATCATAATTCTCATTCATAACAATCATGCCCAACATGATCAAACTTGCGTTTGACATCAAACAAGACAAACCACCTTTGAAGAACTCGTCAATGCCACTCATCAATGCCCGATAAAAACAAGGCAGAGAGCCTCTAACACTTCACTCATCATGAGCCAATCCTCTTGTACTTGATAAAAATGAGTCAGAGTCTCTTAATAACACTACAAGAGAAATCAGGATTATCTACGAAAAAAATACGTAGATAAGCATGAAAATTCGTAGATAAGTCTTGATTATCTACGGATTATCTACAACCAAAAATCCGTAGGTAATAAGGTTGTAGATAACGTTACTTACGAAAAATTATCCGTAGATAACGTTATCTACGGAAAGTTTTACGTAAATAACCCGCAAAAGTTGTTATCTACAAATTTTATCCGTAGATAACCTTCAGAAAATTTTTGTTTAATTTTAATAAATTTATTAATGTAACAACACTCATATTTGGTCTCTCAAGGATGCTATTTCCGTAGGTAATATTCTGTAGATAACTAAACATTATCTACAGAAAAAATTCCATAGGTAATATTCCGTAGATAACTAAATATTATCTACAGAAAAAATTTCGTAGGTAATATTTCGTAGATAATAACAATTTTTCTTGTAGTGTAATCCACGCCCGACATGACTCATTTTATGTCCAGTGTCAATGAGATAGGGACTCTCTAACTTACTTACACTCGACGCCATCCTTGGGTTCAATTCAACACATATAGAACATATATAACTAAGATTTATCAAAAAGAACAATGCAACCATCACATGATCCAATATCATCAATTCATCTCCAAACAACCAAAAACCTAAGCAATAAGGTTCTTCACTTCTCAATTCATAACATAGCCACAAATGGACGAATCCAGGCAATAAACAACACATGCAACACAACAAGATCAATCTACAAGTTTTTCTTATCTCAACCTCAAAGAAAAAAAGGAAGAGAAAGATGAACAACAAAGAACGCAACCTCCTAAGCTATTACCACATGACAACCACAAACCATTCTTAACTCTGAAGTCTCAAATCCCAACTCAACTCTTACTAATGATGTCTTGGAGAAGAATTAGAGTGATTCTTCAAGTTAAAAGAAGGAATGGTGATCTTTTGCTCAAAAGCCTATATATTTAAAACCTCTCTCTAAAAATCTTAAGTAGTTATTTTCTCTTGTTTGGTTTATAACAGATGTAAGAAATTTTAAAGATCAAATTCTTTTTGTATTATTGTAATTAATTTTTAATTTAAAAATATAAAAATATTTTATATATTATATTAAAAATGTATAAAATTTGCTTTATTTCCTCTAAATCCTCTTAATACTAAAGGAGAGATAAAGTAAAATTAGAAGATGAGGGCCGGGTTTTGTCTCTCTCCATTTTTATTCTCCTTTAAAAATTAAATTAAATAAGAAAATTTTATGAAAATATTATCTCTTTTCTCTTCGGACTAAACACTATTTTAAAGTAGAGACATTTGATTAAAAAAAAAGTAAAAAGTTATAATGAATGGATGATTCATTGGATATCGTTGGCTGTTGTGGCCTTGTGGAGTGGGGCATTGAATGGAGCCCTGTGAACTCTGACGAAAATTGATGCATAGCTGTAATGAGAAATGGGAATGGCCAAGATTTTGCAGCTTTTTAGTGAGTGTGAAATGACTTTAGTTTTCATTGGATTTGGTTTGAGATGTTGACACCTAAAAAAAGAAACTCGAGATGCCGTCGACATTGTCAATGCATAGCTCAATTTTTTCCTCCTCCTCCGGCTTTTTAAACATTAACCAAGTAGTCTTGAATTAGTCAAATTCAACAAACCAAGAGAACCTCTCTTTTGAGGATTCTTGAATTAGTCAAATTGAACAAAACAAGTCACAATCTCAACTTTTATTTTTAATCAAGTACATATATATATATGCTTTATAGTATTTTTCAAAAACTAATATCTAATTTTCAAAATAAATTGATCGATGATATATATGTAATAATTATCAATTTTAATAAAGCTTGTGATGATAATTGGTAGAGTTTGAATTGTTTTCGAAATTTATTTTTGTACGTCCTCATCCTAATTATAAAACATAACAAACAAAATGATAACTGAATTAAATTAAGTGTAATCCAACATTAAAATATACTCTTGGCTGCGGTATCTCCTAGGATCCCACTCGTCTTAAGTTTATGCCATCATCATCAACCATCAAGAATATTTCATCACTGAGAACCGATGGATGAATAAGACTCCACGCATAATAGTACAAACAAGTGAATAACAAGACCTGCTGCGAACTAAATGAATAATTAATTGAATCACCAGAACCTTTCCTCAGCTATGAATGATAATTAATTCAAACTATATATTATATTATATTACACACATGTTGTTCGGATAAATAATATATATTAACTTTTAAACCCTAATTCAAAAAATGATGATTATAAAACAACACAAACTTATTCGTGTAAATGTAAATCTTCCAAAGGCCGGCTTTAACATTAATGTTATATTTTAATGTTTATATGTTAATAATGTCTTATTTTCTAAAGTATATGTGGTTCTCTCACAACAATAATAATAACTATGATTTCGACGGATAAACCTGGAAGCATATGACAAAACATCATTCTCTAGATATATACTAATATATATAGCATCCTTAACTAACACATATATATAAACTAAGGTCAAGGAGGTTAGCAAGAGAAATTGGTTGTTTGAGAGAAGAGAGTACATATGGCTGTTGCAGCTTCTGGAGAAAGAAGCTTGCAGGCAACACCCACATGGGCAGTAGCTGTTGTTTGTTCAGTTTTTGTCATTATCTCTGTCATAATTGAACATGGAATCCATTCACTTGGAAAGGTACGTGCATGCATGTTTATTTTAATTAGTTTTTAGCGTATACTCTAAATTGGTACTTTGGAAATTAATTAATTTATGGCCACAGTGGTTTCAAAAACGACATAAGAAGGCCATGAATGAAGCGTTGGAGAAAATCAAAGCGGGTAAGTAAAATTAGAATGAGGCGAATTGATGTTACTAGCTAGGATTCAATACACATTAATTAGTGATTTTGTTTTGTTTTGTTTGCAGAATTAATGTTGCTAGGATTCATATCCCTATTACTTACGTTTGGTACAAAGTATGTTGCAAAGATATGCATTCCTGAATCATTTGGTGACACCATGCTGCCATGCAAGAAGGTGAAACCAGATGATGACTCAAATGGCAGAAGGAGACTACTTTCTTTGGACGAGAGCGTGGAATGGCGTCGAGTTTTAGAAGCTGCGTCTGGTGGTGGTGACTCTTGCTCACAAGTGAGAAATTAACATAAATAATAAATATATGATTATATATGTTCTCGTACCCCTTTTTATTATTCAGTTATTAAATGCTAATAATTAATTAAATGGTGTATTTTTTGAGCAGGGTAAAGTGCCTTTGATATCTCAGTCAGGGGTGCATCAGTTACATATATTTATATTCGTGCTGGCTGTTTTTCACATTTTTTACAGCGTCATGACTATGGTGCTAGCCCGAGCAAAAGTAAGTTTATTTTTTCAAATAACCCACGTCAAAACCACTAATTATAAATTAAAGGATGAAATCATATTACAAATTATTAATATCACTTGTCTTTGTTTCTTGATATGCATGAATACGAATTAATACCAGGGCCGGCCAAACTATAAGTCCTCTCACTTTTGACTCAACAATATTTTTACTTCTTTATATGCTTTAATTTAAGAATTTTAAAACATTAACGATGAGTTATATAAATAATATTGATATTAAGAAACGTAAATCCAAAATAGATTTCTATATTTTGCATATATTGCTTTTCAAAATACTCAATTCAGATGCAATATATTGAGTCGAGAACACCAATCCGGATATATATACATTGCGAAATACTCGATTAGAAATATATAAATTGAGTTTTTCGAAACAGTTATTTAAGGACAGTTTGCGTATTATATATAAAGTTAATCAACTAACACTCTCACTGACAACAAGTTATATCTTTTAATTATATCATGTCATAATTAAAAATAAATATATTTATAGTGACATGACATAATTAAAAGATATAATTAGTTGTGTAAAAAATTTAACATTGTGATTAACTTTTATATATATAAAATCTGGATGCAATTACGCAAATTGTCGAATTAGAGTAATTGCCCGCATTGCATCCATAATCTTTGGGCCTAATTAGAGCTCAGATTTGTGGCCCGCTCTGGGTCATAATGAGTCTGTGGGCTTATACCGGAAGGAAAAATAAAAGTTTTTTTATATTTTTTTTTATATACATCTCTATTAATTTATAATAGATCTTTTTTACTTATTTATTTTTTTTAAAAAAATTGTTTTAAAAAAATATTTGTAGAAAATGTACTTTTTAGAAGTGTATTGTTTTTTTTTCTTTTAAAAAGTAGGTTTTAGAAATTTTTTTTACTTTCTGTTCAAGAACAAAAAACACAATTTCAAAATAGTAATAATAAAAAAAATGTAGTGTTTCTAATTAATAATTCATTGAAATATTATTTCTTTAGAAATGATGTCTTCATAAAATTCTCAACTTTAAATTTAATGCATGTAATATTGAAGATAAAGAAGAAAAAAAATTGAAGTTTAAAAATTATTGAAATTAAGAGTACAAACAAAATAGTGCTTACAAAATAATAAAGACGAGTCGGTTGATATCTTGATTGTTGGAGAGAAAAAATCAAGAAATAAAAAGTAACAAATAATGAAGATTATTAGAGAGGGATATGGTAGCGGAAGAAAAAAAAAAGTGAAAGCTACACAATTGTTTCCAAAATCATTTATTTATTTAGTTTTTTTAAAATAATATTTGATTAGCAAAAATCACATTTCACAAATACAAATTAATTATTAATTATCAATTTAAAAATACTATGTATATTATGTTTATAGAAAAAAATTATTATTATTATTTTACAAAAAATAAATAGTGACCCAAATCGCCTAGACCCGCGAATAATAATAATTAAGAGAATGACATTCTTTTGCAGATGAAGAAATGGAAGGCTTGGGAAGCGGAAACAACCTCCCTGGAGTATCAATTTACAAATGGTAATTCTTATTGTATTTTGTAAGACGGTTTATAGTAAACATATATATATATATATTCTTACCGGAGATCGGTTGAGGAGGACGATCTGTTAGGTAAGATTGATGAGTCTCATACGTCGGCTGCTCCGAAGTGGGGGTAGTATCTGCAAAAAAGATTTTGATGCTAAACTTAGTCTTTGATGTAGTCGTCTCATAATATAGTGCATGTACTTTGACGTGAATTAGGATTTTCCACTTATGCAAGGATATTGGGACCTGAGGTTGGTCTTAGCCAGATGTGTAGTGGGTCTCTGCTTTGGCCGACGTCATGTGACGTATATCTGATGTCATTTAGCGTTTTAGTGCCGAGCTCAAACTCGGCTTCGCGATACGGATAGTACAATATATATATATATATATATATATATAT